TTTTTAAACTGAAATAGCTAGCCAAGTTCTATATCCAGGTGGTTGTCTTGATTAGAAGAAAAGAATGCTAGAACAGAAAATCTTTACAGAGAATGCATAAAAATCCTGGGGTTTTGGAACACAGAAATGCTCAAATGGCAGAAGACTGTTCTTTGCCACACCAACAAACATTTGCCTCAAATGTTATGATTCCTCTTCAACCAGGCACAGAAATTTTGAATGAGTCGTCAGTAGACATGATTTCTGCAGTCTTTTTTAATAGAAGGTACTCAAATGTTTCACCTATAAGGAATCAGATTGTAGCCTTCCTCAGAAATTACCAAAAAACCCATGAGTTGGTAGGAACTTTATTCAGAAATACCTCTCAATTCTCTGATATCCTGTTGTCTTCTTTTGGAAGTTGTATGAAAGTCAAGTGGAAAGACTTTCCTTCAGTCACAGAAATGCTTAAATTGTAATATAGAAACGGAATATGGGAAACCAGCAATAAGGAATACAGTATCATTTACTAACAACTATGGGGCCTTTTTGTGTTGTGGCTACATATTACCATCCACTTGCACTGAAAAAAGAGACTTCATGGGTGGTATTCCTTTTGTAATGAATGCACACATCAACAGTATATTCCAGCTTTCAATAGTGAGGATCCCTGCAACATTAGTAACGGGTTAAGCTGTCTCTCCTGATCAGTGAATCAAATACCCCAGTAAAATTCAATGTGCTGCTGCACTGTCTGTCATGACCAGGAAAGACTAATACCATACTTTTGCTTGGCACTTGACAAAGACCTAGAATCTGTTGCAGTTATATTTCCCCATTCTTAAGCTCAGTACGAGTTGAGGCCACTTCCTGGAGGGTTTTTCTGTAGTACTTTAGAATCATAGAATAAATTAGGTTGGAAAAGAGTGCTACGATCATTGAGTCCAACCATTAACCTCGCACTGACAAGTCCACCACTAAACCATGTCCCTAAGCGCCACATCTATACAACTTTTAAATACCTCCATGGATGGTGACTCCACCACCTCTCTGGGCAGCCTGTTCCAATGCTTGACTACCCTTTCAGTAAAGAAATTTTTCCTGATATCCAATCTAAACCTCCCCTGGCGCAGCTTAAGCCCATTTCCTGTTGTCGTATCACTAACTACTTGGGAGAAGAGACCAACACCCACCTCACTGCAACCTCCTTTCAGGTAGTTGTAGAGAGCAAGAAGGTCTCCCCTCAGCCTCCCCTTCTCCAGGCTAAACAACCCCAGCTCCCTCAGCCGCTCTCACAGGACTTGTTCTCTAGACTTTTCACCAGCTTCGTTGCTCTTCTTTGGACACGTTCCAGCACCTCAATGTCTTTCTTGTAGTGAGGAGCCCAAAACTGAACAGTTACTCCATCACAGGAACAACCTTTTATGTACTGCATAAGTTAACATGCAGCTTTTGCATGTTACCTTTTACATATTGCATAAGTTAACAATCAGCCTGCAATATGTGTTTACTGTCTATTTCTATATGCTCATATTTTGCTTCTGCTCTGAAAAATTTACACTTTACACTGTACGTAGATAACTGACTTTTTAGACAGGTATTTTTTATGACATGAAGTATCTGTGAAAAGAAGAAAGGTACTACAAGTCAATGGTGGTTATAAAGAATCTAGTTTTGCTCTGAAAAGCTGGAGCTGCATAAAGTTTTAGTAAAAAAGAGTTGGTGGAACTTGACACATTTGGTGGGTACAGAAATCGTGTTTCTTGTTTCTTACCCCACAAAAGGGTTGTGGTGCCTTTATCCTACAGCATTTTCAACTAAAATATTCAAACCCTATTAAGGATTTAGAAAGCAAGTACTGTTCTCAGTATTTTCCCTAGATTGCTTGTTTCCATGCATTCAGGCATTTATCAATATAAAATTGTCTTTTTTTGTAATACTTGGAAAATAAATAAAAGAATCATTCTAAATCATCTCTAAGTGATTTGTACATTATTTTGTTGGGGGAACTTTTTAACTTTGATCCCACATGGCCCTATTCCATTGAACTAAAATGTAGTAATATCATTAATATTTATCCTTCTTGGACCTACATGATGTTCTGGGGCTTAAAAAAAGTTTCTTTTGTTTCCTTTTGAATTTTAGTGAAAGAGAATCCTCTGCATTCCTAACTAAGCCAATTTATTCCTTAACACCTCTTCAATTCAGATACTTACCAGGCCTTGGTTTGTGGCCACTATCTATTAAAAGATGACTGGAGGACATTCCATTCACCCTTGATCACCAATATTCCTTAAGTGGCCATAAAGCTTGTGTCCATTAGGATTAGTAAAAGGTATAGTAAATACAAGGGGTTTGAGAGAAGCTGCAAAATTGGTTGGAAGTATGGAAAGGCTTCAAAATGAGCAAAGACTGAAATTTTAGCAGTCTTTAGTTCAGGAAGAGGAGACACAACTAAAGTTTCCAGAATAACAAAAGGTACAAGGATGTGCATATTACTGTACACTTTAAAACACTGCAAACAAAAAGGACTTTAAAGACAACGTATGTAAATCTGTTTCCATCACAGAATGTGCTGAAGTTTTACATCTCATTGTGATGAAGTATGACTGATGTCAAGAGCTTTGCATAATTAATTAGCATGTATACATTTGTCTCGCATATGTATATTCCATTGCAATAGATGCAATAAAAATACAGATATATGAGCTGTCATGTAACTTGGCATGTTAAATTCTGTGTGATGATATGTGGGCAGGTACTGCACTAGACATGCTTACTGCTTAATCTGCCCATCTTCCTTTGAAAGTAGTTGTTAGAAAAAGACATTACACTGACCTGATACAGCAATTTCTGTGTGTGTACCAATATAACAAAATTTTAAAAGACTTAACACAGTTTGCTTGTGTGAAATTTTCTTTCTCCCTTTCTTTCTCGTAGCACCACTGCTTATTCAGTCTTGTATTCATACACTGCTTTTTGACATTAATGTCTGCAGGATTAAAAAAATAGTATCAGTCTGCCTTTTTAACTTATTCTGAACCAAAAGTAATCGGCTAACTGTAATTACAGATCATCTCCCCAGACAATATTTTTTTTATAACCATTAGACATCAGGAGTTGTTTTTTTCAAAGTTTTAACAGTTGCAAAGCCTCTTGTATCTCTGGGGATGGAGTCATAGAGCAACTCTATTGGTTTGTAGGCTTTTAATGAAAACATGTCAGTGCTGCCATCTTTTGGACATTTTTTAACTACCTATTATGGAAAACTAGGATCTGATTAACGAGGACAATGTTCATGAGGGATGTGGGGAAAACGTCAAACGATTAACTTTGAAAAAATGTCCTGCTGTGGACTTTGATTCCATTCTCCTTAAAAATGCATTCATGCTGACAAGCACACAGCTTTGTGAGTGTGTAGGGACCTCCCTGCTTTAAATAACATGTACATTGAAGAATAGTTTGTGATCTGAAACTTTAAAACACATTGCAGTTACCTTTTTCTGTGCTATTTAAAGAATTTTGTCATGCATTCCTCAGATGGAATTAATTTTGCTTATGGAAACTCACAATTTCCATGAGGGCATTTTAGATTTATTTGTCCTCATTGCATTTAAAGTATTTATTTGAGGACTTGATTATTCAAAAATGTATTTTCTGTCTGGGAGAGTGAAAGGTGAAAAGTGAACAGATCAGTCCAACCTGGGAAAAAACAAAAGACCCTTCTCTATCTGAGTGAAAAGGAAAATATCCTTCCAGAGAAATGCTGAAAGCTCAGTTAAATGAAAGCCTAAAACACTAGTGTTGTGGCTTTTTAGGAAGAAAAATTTCTGCCTTCCCTTCTTGGGAATTAGATCTGAATTTTTGGGCCTTGCTATAGACAGCACACTAATATTTCTGACAATGTGGGTGTTTCTTTCTTTTTTCAGCAAACAGCCTTCCAGGAGAGAAAGTTGGTAGAAAAAATCAGTTAGGTGAAACTTTGTAGGTGCCAGGTATAGTTCAGTGAACAGCTATCCCTAACAAACTGCTTTGGGGAGTGTACCAATATCCTACCAAAAAACACGGAGAATTTAACTGTATGGGTGTGTCCTGTGACAAGGAAACAGTATCTCCTTTCCCACCACTAAAACCTTGCACAGTAAGAAGGAATTTGACTCCTGTCAACATGCTGGGTCATGGTGGAATGGCAGAAGAGCTCATAGTCACCTTCCTCATGTATTAATGACTACAAGGGTATGGTGACCTGCTCTATACAGTAGTTACAGACTGTTATGGGTTTCATAGCATTGCAGTCTAGCACAAGTTTAGTTCTGGTGTCTTGCCTCTCATCCTGAAATATCAGTACAGTGAGCCTGACCTATTCATATCCATTACTACTACTAGCTGTCATTTTAGCATTTACGCATTCATCATAATTTTTCATCTTTGTAAACATACTTCTTGAAATGGAAAAATTGTCAAAACTTTCTGTAGTACTCTTTCTAATTTTGTTGTCAAAAACACATATTCCAGCAATATAACTAGGAATAAGACAACACTTAAATAAAAAACTTTATTAACAATGTAAAACGTTTAATATCTTACAGTCTGAGATAATTCTGGCATGCCCTATAAGACTTAATACTTAGTGATATGCAGACACCATGCTTTGAATTCTATTGGAAACAAAATGGATTGGTGGTGTGTTTTACATTGTTTAATACACCTTTTAATAAATTATTTATTTTTTCCAAAAGCTTGTAGAGATACTATCAGCTTAAAAGGAAATCTGTTGCTTCTATGCATTGTACAGTATGTAGATATTATGATTTCTCTGTATTTACAAGTTCTAAGTATTTTCATATATGGTTTGTGTATCATAAATTAAGATCTTTTTCTATGAATCTTTTAAATCGAGATATAGTGGAAGACTAAATATGAATGAGAGCACAAAAAGCAACTGGAGATTTTGTGCAAATTCTGTTACAATATTGTTTAAGTGTTTTAGGACTTCAATACTTTTGCTGTTAAGTAGTTTTCTATGCTTAAATACTGTTAGACTATGATCAAGTATTTAGTATGATACTAATAAGAGTACTGTACTATGCACAAACTTTTAGCTGCAGTTCAAACAATAAAAAAAACTTTAAAATTACCTGTTAACCACAATTCATGTGTCTTTTCTCTGAGTGGTTGAAAGAAAGCATGCAAAACACACTTTAAAAAGTTTGAAAAACATTCTTAGTTATGCTAGAGCTATTCCACAGCTGGTTTTTGACCACCATAACTTTCAACAATTAAAACCCTTATTTTGAAAAGGGGGATGGAGCAGAAGAGAAAAAGGAATAGGCTAGTGTAGAAAATGTACTTTATAATCAAGAGTAGCAATGTTCATCTTTTCAGTGGCCAAATAATAGTCATTTAATCAAAGTTATGATTTTCTTGGTGCTTCTGTACTTAATCTTCTAACTTGAGACAAGACAACACAGTCCAAAGAATCTTCGCTTCCGTCTTCTTACCAATGGATACGGAGTCAAGTTTAGGAGGCTGCTATCATCTGTGATGAAAAAAACCCACATTTTAATACAAGCATGTACACATCCACACACACAAAAGAGTTTATATCATTTATGTGTCCTAACAGCACCCACATGATCAAGTAATAGATCCCACTGTTCTAGGCATAGAGCAAATAATAACCTGAATTTTGTATATAAGAGTCTTACAGTGCGAATTATCAGAATCTCCATCATAATACAATAGAAATTTTGGCAGTAAGAATACCAGTTCAACGACAAAACCTAAAGGAAATTGCACCTCCAGTACTGGGAGACCTAAGTGACAACACATGGATGAATAATGTTAGGGTCCCAATTAAAACCTGAAGATAAGTAGCTTGAGATCTTGCAGACACGCAAGTTTGGAAATGTCAGTCCTAAGGGTAAATTCTGGTTTAATTTAGAGTTTAAAAAAGACTTTATTGGCTGTCCACTTGTGCACATCATGCAGAATTTCCATTTAAAACTGCAACACTGGAACATATTGGCACATCAAGGGAAAAAGACCTTGTCTGGGAAAGTTAGCACAATATGCTCACTCTGTTTCTGGGTAGCTTTCCACCTTTTGTGTTAACTCCTTTTAAATTCATACAAAAATGTATATATTAGTGCCTATACTTATGTTAACTCATGCACTGTCAGTGAGCTATCTCATAAAATCTTTAGAATTCACTTTGAATTTGAGCCATCTTCAGGCATGGTTTCAGGCTAAGAGCTGTGCGTCATTATGTTCCTATTCTGGTTACATCAGGGACCTAGTTATGATTATAGGCTCTAGGCACTACTGTAATGCAAATACTTAACTATAAGAACATAGGTAAGAGATCATTTAATATTGTGACTCAAGCTTACAAACCACATCAACTAAATTTCTTAGCATAGTAACTTTCCTGCTGTCACTTAAGAGAGTTCCATACAAAAACCCCAGATCTGTGAGCAGTCAGTAACATTGTGTAAAGCTTTTGTGGGCTTGCAACCTTAACTCTGTTCTGGCTGTCACTGAAATCAACAGCAAAACACTCATTTACTCAAAGCAGGATTGGGTCTTGTAAAAATCAACTCATTCAATGGCATTCATTCATCTCAAACATTCTCTTAAACAGTGCTTGTAATCCATATACATGTCAAAATTACAGTCCAGACCACATTAATTACCTATAATGTTGTTTGTTTGTTCTATTTACTTATACTGTTACCTAGCTTTTATTAATTAAAGGTCTTGGAATATTTAAAAAAAATTAAGGGCTGTATGACTGTCCATTCCTGTGGCATCTATTCTCAGAGGTCATCTGTAAACTGTGATCACAGTTGGAGTCTGTGGGAGCTGCAAAACCCACCATTTATGATTACCTGATCCTGGGGCATGTCTCAGGGCTTTTAAACTCTAGCTGACATGTTTTCCATCCTGCTGCATAGGTCATCAGTGATTTTCTGACAATTGTTGAAGGGTAGTGTAGACATCAGCCAGCAGAGAATAATTCTGTACACCTTTATCTCTGTTCTGAATTCAAGTTTCTACATGCTTTATATCCCCCAAATTTGTCTTTTTCTTCCTTATTTCCACCATGCTCCTTTCTTCTAGGCTAAGCATAGACTTCACGGCATTTTTCCAGTCTCTACAATGGCACATCTGTATCGTATCATAAACAATTCCATTTCTCCTTTCACATAGTTTTCCGTCAAGCCATCCTGCCATAAACTCTTGCTTGTATAATGAATTCATCCATTCTACATTCATTTCTTACCATACTATGATGAATGCTAGACTGCTTAGTTACTTGGGACAAGATCTATGATGCATTAGGCATACTTCATCAGCTGCCACTGTGCAAAGACTACACAGCATTTAAGAAACACACGTTATCAAGAAGAAATAAAAAAGGAAAATTATTATCTTTCTAATGTTGTTCACATGAAGAGAGTCCCTGTAGATGTGGAATATTTAACACTGCTGGGCCACAAAATGAAGGCCCATTGCTAAATATATGCATAGGGTGGAGATCCTGCCCCCTGGTGCATTTGTACAGGGTGCCTTATAGCTGGCTACTGGGAAAAGCAGGCTGTTAGCAGACTCAAGGAAAGTTAACTTTTCTACATAGGGTCAGTGTCATGTCACAGAAGCTACAAGCCTTGCAGGGGTAAAGCAAACCCCATCACTCAGTAGGATCCCTATCATAGCCTGTGCAATTTACACATTCATTACCTTTAAAAAGAAAGCCTCCTGACAGAGGGAATTAGTTGTGCTGCTGCCTTCATGTCACTAGGAAAACTCTATTATTTTATCTATAGATACCATATCTATAAAATTCCAGAATACCTCATATGAAACTCAAGAGGCCAAAGTTCACATACTAAATTCTGCCTCCACTGAATCAGTAGGGAAGAGACTTCACCTGGATTTTTCTTTTTATAACTTCTATAAAAATCCCTAGATTTTTCGGATCTAATGGAAAGCAAAATCTTTAATTATCTTAATTTTGTTCACATGAAGAAAATACAAAACCTACCTTGATTTTTCAGTGGTAAAGGCATAGTCTCCCTGAGTTTACTTAAAAGGTTTTTCATTTCTCTCATATCTCTGTGGAAACAAAAGTTGAAAAAGATACAATAGGACTGCAGTTGAAGACTGAATGGGGAATGGCTCACATATAGCTATAGCTTTATATGCTGAAATAGTGGAACAAAAAATACAAAAATCTATTGGGCAAGCATTTGGTTCATATACATGTATTAGAAGATGCATACCAAAATAAAGGGCAGTAGATTTAATAAGGGAGCACTTTTAGGCCAGTCTGATATTAACTAGTTACATCTGGTCCAAATCTATGATCTATTCTGCCACTTGAGCATTCCATGTTAAATGAGCTGGTGGGCACAAAGTGATCCTAGTGGCAAAATACACAATATGCCTTAAAATTAGCATAAACTAGCACTAATGTCAACTTAATACCCCTTATCAGCATTTTGTAGCTTGTGCCATGAATGCATTTCATTGTTCAGAAATAATACATGCAGCTAATCCATGATACCTAAGCTCCCTGCACATTAAATAAAAATTTTAGAAACAGGGCTGTCACTCTCACCCCTCTTAAGAGGACTCTGGCATGAAATTTTCTAAAAGGCAAGATGGAAAATATGATAACAAAGTATCATCTCACAAAGCAATTTACATTTGGATATGTTTTCAGAGAGGCCAGAAGTTGCAAAAAAATTCCCATTTTCCAGATAGATGGCAGACCAACAATTTTGTGTGCAGGCTTGTAATGTCTTAAGGCTTTCAGGATTTAAAAACAATGTGGTCTTGCCTCATTCATCTACATATAAAATAGTTCTTAGAAATGAAGCACCATGACTAGTAAGCAATTGCTCAGTTTTATTCTCCAAGTTACTCTCTCAGCAGAACAGAACTTCATTTTACACAAACAAACATGGTGACCATTAAAATCTCAGCAGCAGCTTAATATACAAAGCCATCAAAATAGGTATTTTTTGCAAAGAAATGTTGGCCATAAGGATTACTCCTTACTAAACGGTCTCATTTTTGTCTTTCAGCTGCATAGTTAAGGGGGTAATGGAAGTCCACTTTGACAAACTTGTGCATGATGTTCCCCTCCCCTCCTAAGGCTTCCACATTCATAACCGACATGAACTAGATTCTGTGCTTTCAATTTATGAGTGCAGAAACACAAGCCAGCAAATTTCAGGTACAAAATCAGAAACCACTCAAGATGAGACAAAGGCTGCCTCTCTTAGAGAACTTGGCCTGCTAGCAACATCATTTCGCACCCTTTGTTTTTGACCATTACCCTTTGGTAATTAGCCTAATTAAGGATGTCACTTCTCTCTGCCCTTCTTTTAGGAGTTGCTCTCAGATATGTTAAATGTAACAGAAATGTTAACAGGTTATTTAATTTATTAATACCTTTAATAGTAGAAACACCAGCTGCCTAATTGGAAAAGACTAAATAAACCCTAGACAGATATTTGTTTTGTTTAGGAATGAAGTGCTACACATACCTTTCAGTGTTTTCAATATCTGTGGAAACCTGCCATAAATGCTGTTGAATATCTGTTGGTGATGATGATGTGTCTTCTAAAATAGGTACTTCGGAACTCTCCTCCACTTTAGTATCTAGAATTTTGGGTGGGGCACAAGGTTCTTTTCCTTTAAAATATTTAAACAAAACATATATCCCCATTATTTATTAATTAAAATGCATACTCAGATTATATCATTGTTGTTTTGACCTTGATCTTGCACAGTATAAATGAAGAGAGAGAGCGGTGCATGAAACCCTTGAGTAAGAACTGTTCAGAAAGAGAGCAGGCCACACCAATCTGCTAATCAGAGTGCTGCTATATATTACTCGTACCAAACAAAACTAAGAGAAGTCCCACACAGGCATGTACGGAGCTCAGAATTTTACACAGTGACTATAATGAAGGGTTTCAGTTAAACTCCAGTGGCTCACATGTGACACAAAATAAGAGCCAGAGGACGAAACAGAACAAAATAAGGAAAGAAACTACAGCATACCTTCTGAAAGCAACTTCAAAAAATTTGACACTAGAACATTGCAATCCATGTCTCCTGGCATTACAGCAATAGTAAGGGAAAACAAAAGACAAAAATAGGCAGTTTTGTACTTGGTGATTTTAAAAGCAATACATAGCTGCCACCACTCACAGCCCAATATGCATTCTATTCTGAATTTCCATGCTTGCACTTGCTTAATTCATGCTCATTATAAGAAAATGAAATGCAGTGCTGAAATTCAATAGGGTCTTCATGATGGATCTGCTGGGGCTTTTGTCAGGGAGAGAATGGGGTAAAGGATGTGGACCATGACAGTGGAGCATGCAAGACAGTTAGGCACTGGTGGGATTTTTTGGTATCCTTGCAAACTTCCCGTCACTGTCTGATGGTATTCCTTTTCTGTAGTGGCAAGTACAGTCCTGGCACTAAGTGCATCTACATGAGAAAATTCAAATTGGAGTGTATCGCAGACATGTTAGTGAGAAGTTAAAGTTTTTTCCCACTCTGAGTTCTCTCATGAAATGGAGTAAACAACCTCAGAAAGAAACAAATAAAATTTTCTAACAATAGGAAAAAAAAGGTCAATGTTTAAACCAGTGGTATGAGGAACTGAGTAGGAAATGATTTTTCATCTCACAATTTTTGCGGTTTGAAAAATTTTCACATCAGGACAAATCTGAATAGTTCTTATAAGGTTTGACAACAAACAGGAAGAACAAGAACAGCTAACAGAGTATAGCCCATTTTTCTGGGACACAAGAGACCAAGGTTGCAGACCATACTACATTGCTCTTACACACCTTAAGTAAGTATCCCTGCTATCAGGCTTGTAACCTTGTTTTTTTAAAACTAGAAATTCCTGGATCTTAAGAAACTCTTTTTGGGCAGGTTCTCTAAACTGTTGTATTCTGGCAAATTATTCCTTTGCTGGAAAAAAAAAAAAATATTCTTAGCTACTTGTCTGAATGTCAAACTAGATGTTACTTATACTACAGAAGATACTTGCTTAATGTTTTCATTACTCTCTGAAGTCAGTAGGAAGCCCTTTTCCCTGCTTCCCCCCCAACTAAGTCATCTACCTATGATTCCAAGAGACTGCATGACCTAACATTACACGTTTATAATCCATAAAAGAATCTGTAAAATAATCATGTCCCGTGCCTGTTCTCTGCTGGTTACTGTGGCATCCACTGCTACCTTGTGTTTTGCCAGATCCCTCTGTGAGCCATTTTAACGCACCAAATGGTAGAAGATTACCCCAATAAAAGGAAAAATAAAACGTGAAGCTTTCTGATGTTGCAGTGATTTAAGTCAGGTCAGTGAAGAACCCGACATGTTCCAGAGCAAGTGCCAGAGGAGGAGGATGATCATACGGCCAGAAGCAGTGGAACGGGCGAAGAAGTGAAGGCATGATAAGGGAGGGGAGATAGAGAGGAAGGGATCAAGACCCTTCTGGTGGTAGCAAGCTATTATGCTGACTCAGCTGCCTGAGGAACAGCAGCCTAAGCCTACTTCCCAAATTGTATGTTTTACTCTGTATCACCCTGTAGGTATAACTTTCAAATTTTTCTAGTTCTTAACTGCACCTTTTGCTGTTATTTTAAGGTAGTTCATCTCATACAATTTTAATTGCTCATTTGTGTAAGCTTCATTATTAATTATTTTTCCTATTACAAGAAGCGCATAACACAACATACTGTTACCAATATCTCACTTATCACTTCTTTGTAAAAGAGGGTTGCCCCAGGGAAACCATCTAATTTGCCAATGATATCACAAGGTGTTACTACTGGAACTGGGTATTAGTTAATTTTCCCATTTTTTTGAAGTGTTATGTTGGAACAGCGACCTGACCTTTGGTGACATGCTGTCAAGAACAATCCTGTCTGTAGAGGCATCCTTCAGGGATATGAAAGGTGTTTCAATGGAAAATGTAACAATACTACATGAAATAACAGCAAAGGTTCTTTTTCACAACTTGAGAACAGAAGCACTGAGACTGTAACATTCTTTTTGTTAAGCACAAAGGCAAGCTCTTGCAGATTTAGCAGAATGAACGGCACAGATTTCTTTTCAACTGAAAAAAAGCTCTTTACCAGTAATTCTGTTGTATTGTGAGCAATTCATGAAGCCCTTCTTGAATTTCAGAGCATCTGCTCAATCACTTGAAAACAGTTAAAGAGTCAGCTAATAATAAAGGCTTTGCTTTAATAATGTATATGACTCAGGCTTAACATTTCTACTACATGGCACAGCCTGTAGAGAAACAAAAGGTCTTTAATCTTCTCATCCTTCTACTGGCAGTAAGGATATCTTTTGTATTTAACATTCTTAAAATAAGGATATGAACCCTGACTTTTACTTTCAATTTAGTCAGTGGAAAGACTTTAATTAATTTCAGTTGGAGTTTGATCATGCACACAGTGTTTTCAGAGGTGTTTCCAGTCAGCTAGACAGAGGCTCTTCTTTCTGTGAAATCTTAATATAAAGCATGATGTATTCTTTGTCTTTTAGCCTCTAATTCAGCCTTTTTTTTTTTTTTTTTTTTTTTACTTTAAGAAGCAGAAAATGCCTTTGGTATGAAATTAAATTAATTGAATTAAATAATGCTGAAGATCAAACTTGAGTGAGGATAAATAAAAGGGTAGAAAATTATCAGTTCAGTAAGGCTACGTACAACACTGTGCTTTATGTGTCTCACCTGTTGTGCTCCTTACTGCTTCTGTGGTGACCTCTGTGTTTGCTTCTGTTGTGTTACCCTATGCACCTACTCTTAGTCATTACCTACTTCCCAGAGAAACTTACATAATGAAAAAAAAATCTATCATAGGCCCCTCAGAGCTAGTTAGATTTCACTGCAGATGAATTGAAAAGATCTTTGAGGGGAATAACAGAATTTAACAAAGCTGAGAGAACCCTTCTTTCAAAAAGAAGGCAGCATTTGCATCAGGATTCTAACCTGGCAGTTAAGGATAAATGCACAAGCTATAGATCACAGCTAAAGTAAATGAAAAGGAGAACATAAAAAGGGGAAAAGGAAAGAATCGTGTAGGAAGTAAAAAAGAAATGTGGCAGATATGGCTAACAGCCTCATGAACTTCATTCCTGACTTACATTTGGGACCTGCAGAACTCACGAGATTGTCTCACTGGAAGTATTATTATTAAGGAAAATACAATAGGAACAACAAGTCTGTAGTTGAAGTTGTGTTTTCCTCCTTCCATGCCTGTTTCTGTTCTATTCATTTTGGCCTCTTCACAGTGTCCCCATGAGAACGGATGATTCTCTGGATTTTTTTAAGTGCTTGTTTCTCCATACCTGTGTGCTGCTCTTCTCTCCCGTATCTTATCCCTCTTGTGTAAGTAATATGTCTACATAATTACACAAATGTACCAGTCTTTAAATAGAATGCTGAAATTCTAGCACCTGTTAAAGAATCCCTCCTTTCTTCTTCAAAACTCTAAATAGCATGTAATTTAAACAAAGCCAAATAAAACAAAAATCCCTTCACTGAATTGAGGGTTTATTTCTGTAATCTGTAATATAAGCTATCACAGGCTTTTAGGTACTATTTTAAGGAAATATATGTTGTTATCACAAAACACATACTGGAAAAAAAACAATTATGCTATGAACTTGTACGGTACACGATACACAGTTATCTGTGATTTGGTATCATTGTGATGTACCAACAATGCAGGAATGAGTTCAGTCTGAATTTACATCACAGAAACCTAATGTTTTCTGTCCACAGTATGCACACATGATTTTCCCATAAGACTCAATTCTTCCCTTTTTTACCTAAGTATTCAGGTAGCTACCACTCTGGTTAGTGCTGGTATCCTTCTGCCCTCATCTATGTTTACACAAGTCAGATGGGGCCCACACATCTCAGTTGCAGTGACTAAACTGTAATTTTTAATTCAGGGCTTCCAAATAGGCTTGTGGTAAGAACAAACCATATGTAGGTTACAAGCATTGAAGTATTTTGCATCTTATTCTGAGAAATTATCCACATATAAACACATCATTTAGAAAAAAAGACACAGGAAAAAATAAGACTTTAAGACCATTTCATACAATAAACTGTAAGATTCTGGAATCTAATGTATCCCAGACTAATTTCTTCCCATAGATATTCAAATTCTAAACTGACTAGAGCTATGTGTATAGCTGTGTGTATAACTGACAGCAGGAAGTACCTCTCCATGTGTGTAAGCTTCTTTTTCAAAAAGTTACAAACAATATAGCAGGTTGTACTGATTCTGGACCATAAGAATAATATACTCCTCTAACTATACATGAGCAGTGACTTATTTTGTTCAAACTCAGCATAAGTGGCTACCAGTTTCAATCCTGGTACTTCTTTGACAAGGTAGCTTTAACTATTTTTACAGCATGTTTTGAACTCTGGAAAACACCTCCAGTTCATTTTAACTGTCCCCTCTTGCCTTTGATTTGTTACATGGGCTTACTCCCTTAATTATTAAAATGAGTGCCTTGCTCAAATGCTGCATAGGTAGCTAATAGAATGATTGCCATCTGCAATTTAGGATTTTAAAAAATAATTTTCTAATATATGTAATTATATAAACCAACAAGTCAACAATATCTGTAGATGATCCTAAGAAATTAATGGTTTCTATGTAAACATGTACAGACATTAAATTTTGGTAATGCGCACTTCCACAGTGACATGCTATAACGATCCAATGATAATAATATTTTGCAGTTCCTTACAATGAAAGGAATATATTACTCTTGTGGATATAGGAATCAGCAAAGCTCTTCTGTTATGTTTACATATTAAAAATGCAATGAAGTTCTTTGTAAGGTATCAATGAAAACCTTTAACCCTGAAATATTCGTGGCTGAATACAGCAATGTATGCTGAAATGTACTTAAGAACTCTGAGGCAGTTCTGGATTTTCTCAGTGTGGGACCTTGACAATCTCAGAATTAATTTGGAAAAAGGATAATCACATCTAGCAGCTTCCATGGACAGAAATTATGTCAACTAGTTCTTCTAAGACCTTGCTAGCTAAGCCAGGATTTATTTATTTAATCAAAAGAATAGTCATTGTTGGGAACATGGAATGTCAATAAAGTAGACATACAACATTTAAAGGAATTAGATCTGAATTTTGTAACTGCTTCAGACAGGTACATAAGCTCCTTCAGAATATCTTACTTTCCATGGAACTCACTCAAATTTTAAAAAGTATCGCTAAGTTTAAGAACTGTGTATGACACTGCTCCCTAAGGCACAAAGCTATACAATTTAAATGATGGAGGGGAACGAATAAAGCAAAACCAATGTGAGGAGACAAGCTGTGGGTCCTAGGTAAGTGAACTAAGTCTGAGAAAGATGATTCTATCCAGAGAAGTTCTACCAGAGTGTGATAATGATGCAGAAGAAAATTAAGTGAACAAATGCAGTGACAAGTTTCAGAAGATTTCCTGGAAGAGCTGAAACACAAGCTGTCATCTGCCATATCTGCCCCAAAAGGTATTTGCTATAGTCACCCCCAACAGGTATTTGCTATAGTCACCCCCAACAGGTATTTGCTATGACCAAAGGGACAACAAGATCCTTAAAGCCATCATGGTAGGGATTGCAGGAAGACACAGGAGAGTTTCTCACTGTGCTGCTCTGTAAACTGGACTTATACCTACCCAAAGTTTTCATGTGATCCTATCCAAATTGCTTAAACCCAGCTCCTGAAAATAGTTACTGACAAAGTATTTCTAATTGTCTGGTTGCTCAACCGAGAGACTCTTTGCACTCAGCTGCAAATGAAGCTACTGAAAAATTTTAAACATACAGCACTGTATAAAGCATGCTGCAATCTCAGATTCTAAATTAGCAATCTTGAGCTTAATCTTTCTTTGTTGCTTCTTTACAATGGGAAAAATTGCTACCTCACTACTCAAGCCACTTCTGAAGACTCTCCCATCAGTGTATGAGTTACTGAGAAATGTCTGAGGAACAGAAGGATTCTGCCTTTAGAACAGAATTGTGTGAAATAAATATAATGTATGACACTGAACAATTAGGATAAAAGAAAGATATAGGCCCAAGTAAATATTTATGTGTGTATTAATTAGCCAGGACTCTTGAGATTGTGGAAGAAGGAGTAATAAAATATATGGTCAGGTAACAAAGACTTAGTAACTACAAAAAGCTTGAATTAAGGCTACTTGTGCATGTTTCATTGCATCCTTTGCAAGCTTTCTGAATGCTGAACTTTGCAATCATAACGTATTTTCAACACTGGGCTTTTGTGGTGTATGCATCTTGAAAAAAATTTTTTAGAGACCACTTACCTCAGTTTACTTACTGCATAACACAGCTGGAAATATTTACGGCTTTGGCCCCACTGTGACTGTTACATCTCAAAGAAATAACAGACTATCTGACTTTTATAGCAGAGGTTGTATGACAGTAGTAAGTTAATCTAAAGCACTGTACATATGCAAGAAATTTCTGTACAGGAAGCTTGATATATACTATACAGTATATATAGGAATGTTTGTTCAGTAGAAGAGAAAGATAAGGAGAGATAGAAGAACAGTGCTGCGAAAGACAGTGAAAATACCCAGAGCTCAGCCCCTCAAATTGTAGTGTGGTGTTTCATTAAAGAGCATCTGTTTCCCAGTAGGGAGCATTGGCCGAGTTTCTCTTGGGAAAAGAGCATCAGCACTGCCTTATCTTTATCAGTTCTACAGTTTGTTATATAATGTCTGCTCAAGATACCAGTACCCACATTATTATTTATTAGCTGCAGGTTGCTGAGAACAGCCTGCATGTCATTCTACTTGAATCTCTGCTGGCTCCCAAGTAAGAAAATAAATTGGTGAAATCTAATGGGAGATTTAAAAACCACTTATCCAACAGGTAAGAGGACTACAAAATGGAAAATAGTACATCCAAATGAAAAATACTACCTTCAAAAATGAGCTTCAAGACAAAGCAAGAACATCAGACATGCACATTTACGAATTAAGCGAAGTTTCTAAGGGTAGTAATCTTCGTACACAAGGAAATTTATGTTTTTTAGTATGGTAACTCAGACGGTGAAAAACTGGTGAAAAACTAAACAGGTAGAAAAGTAAAAAAGTTGTATACTAGCAACAGCACAGTATATTTTATAATGGTGAAATTACTGGGTCTTTCATTCCTAGAAATAAATTTATGCACTTTGCCTAAACTGCAGTACCACTCTATGTAAGCAAAGAAATTAAAGAAAGGTATAGGTTCATTCTGCTTCTTGGAAAAGAGTATGTTCTGGCAGAACATCAAATAAGTAAGTTGCAAGGTCATCTAGCCTAACACCCTACTGGAAGCAGGGCCAACTTGCATCAGATTGCTCAGGGCTATTCAAGTTATCAATATCTCCAAGGATGGAGATTTCACAGCCTCTTTGGGTGCCTGTTCTAGTATATGACTACCTTCACTGTGAAAAAATACTTAACACGTAACTGGAACTTTCCTTGTTGCATGATGCCTTTACAATACTTCTAGGTATTGTAAATACCAATTATTTAATATACAAGAGCAATGTTCTATTGGCTAAGCTCCAAAATTCAAATTATTCAAATCCCCGTGGTTATATAATTTTTGCCTATTATGCATTTTTCTCAAAGAATGTCAGAGAAACTTGTAGCCAAGTTACTGTGGTTATCTCTATAAGGACACAGGACAAAAATTACTCTATTTAAATGTCAGAATAGCTACCATGACTTTCTCTGTGGTGAGATGAGGAACCAACACATATCAAAAGTACTGCCACATAGGAACTAAGCTGGCCCATGCTGTAATGCTGTAATTCATCTTATTCAACTTTAGACATCTAATAGTTTGATTTTTAGTTTAAGTTATTAATGTAGATTCCATCCAGAGGCAAAAGGGAGAGACAAGACATATCAGGGTTACTCAGGTCACCTCAAGCTACTTGCTTTCTGTGATTACAGAAGCTAGTTTGACAACTGTAGCCAATGCTAGGAAATGTAGTAGAATCTGTCTTTAAAAATGATGATTCATTTTAGCAGCTATTGGCATCTTGTTATACGATGGCTCTATTAATTCTGTCTCTTGCTATTTTACAGGCTTTTTTTCAACTTAAGAAAATCACTGAGAAGCTCAATTGAGCAGTTATAAACTTCTCATTCTTATTTTCATAATAAAAATATCACTGGCTTTAGCTGTGTCCTACAGCTAGATGTGAAAAATACATTATGGGATCTTTCAGCACGACAGGAAATACATAAGGTCCATTACAAGACCTTCATTACAGTTCATTACAGAACTTTGTCTTTACCTAGTATATTATGCTGAGATATTATCCGGGGAAAGAGTAGTTACAATTAGCACAGACACACTCCCAATCACTGCATGCCATCACTGAGTAATGATGTTACTAAGTAACCTATTCAGTGAATTACCTGCATTTCTGCATCCTCCTTTCAGTAGGTGGCTAATCAAATATGAACTCATTAGAGAGATCCATTTTCACTGAAGCAGGGAATTCCTTGTGTGTAAAAACACTCTATGAGGTAGATTTCAGTTCTGATTTAGGATCTAGTTTTACAAAGGTGGGCAGCTTTTTAACCATATTTATCCATCTTTTGCTGTAAGCTGGCATTTCTGGATAAATAACAACAGGGATAGTAAGGGATCAGTTCAGTACCAAAACCATGCCATATTGCTCCAGTAAACACTTGCCCTCAAATATCATACCCAACAAATACCTCTAATAAAATGACTAAGATAGTTTGCTCACTGATCTGACTAATGACAGCTAAAACTTTTGGGGCCAATCTTTTTAAAAAAGTTTCGGACTTCTAAACTACAAGGACATTAGTGATACATGCCTGATATGACACACTTCTGTAAAATTATGCTAATGAAATAGAAATGCAGCTTTTTTTTCAGCGGCTGAAAAGCTTCAGTGGTATAATTTGTTTACAGTTTGGTGCTGTGTCTTTCATGAATACCCATGCATGCCCCAAAAGACTGTTCTTTCTTTTAAATCATCATCTGTATATTTGTGCAATTCAATACCTTTCCGATGAAACTGCAGTGATCCTAGCAGACATATGGACTTAAGCATTTCTGTTGTGTACATTTCTAAGCAACACTGCAACTGGATGTATAGTCTACAGATTTCAGGATGAATTTCACCATCTTCTGGGCTGCAGTAAAAGAGAAAAATTTTAGTTAGGGATGGGAGTGGAAGGACATGTGGGTCATCAAATCCACTTCCCTACTGTTGAAAGCAACCACATCATAATCTGCTTCATAAACTATTAAGCTATGTGTATATGATAAAAAACTTCTTCCTACCAAACTGTATTTACAAACAATTCTTTAGCTCTATAAAGCTCTAGGCTTTAAACAGTTAAACTTGGGTTGTCTTTGGTAAGATTGTGTGTCTTTATTTTATTCCCTGTGTATTTTTGGAAAAGGGGTAAATAAGTGACTGAGATCTTTTCTCTTCTTTAAAAGCTTTGGACAAGTATTTTCTGGTAGATTGAAGGGTTCTTTCGCCATCCAGTTTCTGTTACCCTTGGTGCAGAAGCAGGAGATTGCAGGGCCACTTCCACAGTCACTGTTCAGGTTAGAAATCCTGGATCAGGCATAGTCAACCCTACTTTGAAGACACTCTCATCAGAAATGAGTCAGATAGTTTCTGCCTGAATATCTTTTTCCGCCTGTGTTTAAATTAGTAGTCATGTGATAGTGCATTGTGGGATGTTAAAGAATTTTTAAAGAAAAGTAATAGCAATCTTTAATACAAAAAGTGAAATCAAGAGTAATCCTACACCTCCAATTAATTGCTTAGGACACTAAGAAAATAATTTACCCAGATTCAGGAACCAATTCTTTTGTCTGGCTGTAAAATCAGACATTACACCTCACTTCTGTAGGCTGAGAATGCTGCACGGGTGTAAATATACCTTTGTATAAATATAACTTTCTGTGAGGGCTAACGAAGTGATTTACGCAGTCATACCTGAGAATTAGGTTTTCAATGCTCCTTCCAAAGGTACTTTCAATAGGGCAGTAAGTGGTAAGATTGAAGAGTCAGGATTTCAGCCATTTCATGTTCAGACATTCTTGCTATTGGTTTGCTACACAGTGATGTTAAATGGCAAGATAACCCTCCAAAACTGGATTTTGTAACAACTAGAGGAACCTGCTTTTCTAAATAACCAGAACCTAATGGCATTTCTGAATACCACTGCTAAGAAATGAAAAAAATTTTTCAGCATGTTTTCAGATTTCTAACCTATGAATAATATAAATGAAGCTTTCGCAATAAAAAGATTGCTAGCATTCTTTACAGTGATTGGATTTCCTGTGGTTAAACTGGGGCTTCAAAAGACCCTCCTATATATGAAATAAAATTAGACTTTTGGATTTCCTCATGGGAACCAAAGCAACTTACCTGGTAAGTTATTTGCAGCAACACTAGATTGGGCTGCTATGGTCAAATAATTCCTTAATACCAATCTAGGCCAAAGCCTTTGAGACCTACAGCAGACAATGTCTATTTAAGCTAATAAAATAGGTTCTTTCTGACCTAAGGTAAGAGGTCATTGTTTATACCTAGATGCAGGGTCCAGTCAAAATGTTAAGTCCAGCTCTTTTGTCAAGAGCAGGGCTTAAAAATTATTTTCCTATTTTAAGGAAAATCCTATCAGTTTGTGCTGATACAATCTTACTGAAGTTCAGTTCAAATGAATACTGCATACTAAAATCTGTTAATTCTTGTATTTGAGATGCACCATTATTTCTAACAAAGGAGACCATACATTGCCTAGAAAGCGTGCACCTTCTGCCACTGATTTCAGTGACACCAAGGAAGAATACACTTAGTCATATCCTGGGGTAAGAAATCAGGGACAATATAAGGTAGGCCCTGATGCGTATAGCTCAGTGGGCAGGAGAAAGGAGCAATCTCAAAGGTGTATTTGATTCAAGGACTTGCCATAATCTGCTTCCAATGAGGAAGAAACTGTGTGGTTTTCCAAGGCCCTCAAGGGTTCCTGTCCCTCCAAGTGGTATCAGAAACCAAATGGGACCATGAAGGTTTCACAGAATTGGACAGAACCTTCCTAAAAGGAAAGAGCAACCTTAGCACTTCCACAGCATATGAAGGAAGACTACTGGTGTTTGTACATGCCAATGAAAACTGGTAAGAATCACAGTAGTGGTAAGCTGTACAATCAAGAATGCTTAAACAAGCAAAAAACGCAGCCCAAAAAAGAAAAAAAGACAAGGTTGGAAAAGACTGAAGATTGAAAAGAAATGATGCCAGTCTTAGTCAGAAGGAACAAACGAAGATTGGTCCTACCTGCCAATCCATTACAAAGTAGACCTCATCAAAAAGGCAGGAAATGACTGGAGTACAAATTACAATTGCTGTGGTCTGTGTTACTTCAGGAGCAATACCATCCACATAATAACAAACCAGCCCATCCTAGGAGCTTTCTTTTGGCTAGACTGTAACATGTGCATTTCTCTTAAGCCACATCTACTTTTCTACTTTTAAAGTGAAGTCTGTGTTTGTTGAAAAATTATACCATGCATGATATGGTATTTCCTGCATCTTATCATAAATACAGAATAGAGCTATGGTGGCAGAACAAAAAGGGTTCACCCCCAATACTCTGAAGATGTCTTTTCAGTTGCTTCCTATAATATTTCTTTCTATTCTCAGTTATTCCAACTAGGAAAACATTTGATAGCCTTAAGACCCTGAATAATTTTCCTGGAAAATTAGCTACCTGACAGAATTTTTTTTGTTTATTCAGAGTCAAGTCCGTAAGACATATTTCCTAGAAATGGATCCATGTTGAAATCTCACATTCTTTTCAAAGGACAGGAACATATCCTTTGTGACATTTTTTTAGTGACTGCATAAGCAGTAGCATAAGAAAATATGGAATGCTAGTTCGGAAATGCTGAAAACTATGCTTAGAAGACACACAGCATTAAAACACACATACATGCACACAAGATTATTTTAGGATAAACTGAATTTGATTTTTTAAAAACTGTACTTAATTGCAGCCTCCTCAGGCACTTAGAAGTTCTACTTTATATATTACAACATTTTATACTTTTTTACCTTTCATTAAGTATCTAGTACTTTTTATCTTATATTAATCTATAGTATCTAGTCCTGGTTTAACACGAGTTAAATCTTAACATTCTCTGCAGTTGTGTTTGCTGCTTCTTTCATTTTTAACCAATCTATTTGTTATATGAACTGCAGCTGTTAGATCTATGATCACTCAGCTGATTAGAAATGGACTGTTCTGTCTGCATAAACAATAACCATAAATTTAACAGCATTTCTTTTCAAATTGGCAGATGCAAAGAAGGGTTTTTAATGTAATCATATTGGTATTAACCAAAGAAGATAAAACACATATAGCCCAGATATAAATTTAATTTGTTTTAGTATAAATCAGGAGCAGTTCTGCAGAAGTAGACTGTTATTTCTAAATCATACCAGCATTTTCAAGACCAGCATCTAGTCCTTCATTTTACATGTACTGCTCCTAATTATTTCAAGATTTTCTGTGAAAGAGTTACTACAAAATTCGATGAATCTTAGAGCAGAATAGGATTCTGATGTTTGATGTAAGAGACAGTCTCAGGAGTAAATGTAACCTTACAGAACTCATCTAACCAAATACAGCACAAACAAGCAACTAGCCAAATACAGCAAAAGTACAGCACACCACGTTTTCTTCCTCTGGAATAGTATTTCAACTTTCTGAACTTTGGGTCTCATATACCTGTTTTTATTTCTCTGATAGCTAAATTTAAGAAGCACGTGATACATATTTAGATAATGCATGGCCTCTTAGAGGCTTTTACTATCCTGATTTGTCCTACCTTTTAGCTTACAGGTAAAATTTTTTATACCCCTTAGTGTCACATATTCTTGCATGTGCATTGAACAGTATTCCCAAGTTCAGCACCATGGAATTACTGCAGTAGAGGGAGACACAGCTTTTTCCCCCTGTCATCTCCCCCATTCCTATTCACAAATGAGCTGGAAGAGTAACTGGAAAGCACAGTAACAGGTATTTTAATTGACTTTTTTTTGCTGTTGTAAATCTAGTATATTTTTCTTGTAAACTGTATTTATGAATAGCATGAGAATAAGAACTAGAAACATCTATGATATATGCGTGTTCTGACCCATTCTTGGTTTTTTGAGAATATGGAGTATCTGTAATTGGACTGCAGACAAAATTCTTCTCTCATTTGTAAATTCAGAGTAACAGCAGTGACATCTGAGAAAAATATTTTTAATTATCCAAAATTCATACAATGAGAATTATTTCCAGGCCACTACCCTCACTGATTGTCTCAAACTGTTTAATTCATGTTTAATTGCAATAATGACCACAAGAATTCCATTAGCTGCAACCAATTTTCTCCTATGCATGTATATAGACCTCATTTTCAACTCTGAAAGCCACACGCTCTGCTGCCAATGCACATAAAGATTTCTTTTATAATCCCTGAAGTACATTCTGTGTAGTGGGCTTAAAATTTCCCTTTAAAGTGTCATCAGTCTCACTTCTCTAGTGATTTTATATTTCTGTATGTTCAGTGTCACACTATGAGAAATGTCAAACAGGGGACTAGTACAGACATAACCTTCAGAACACTGCTGCTACCATATTTATTATTAAATGGCTATGTATCAAATTTATGTTTATTTACACAAGAAAGTTCATGCAAACTTGTATTATTATCCCCCAAAGTCAGCTACCACTGTTTCAGTTAGTCCAGCTGATTTCTTTATGAAGATCTCTTAGATATTCAAGAGAAATCTCATATAACACAATCTCATACAACTACTGTGCTAAATCATGTGCTCAGCAGAGCTGTTTAATAGCTTATGTGCAGCTGGACATATGAGAGCCAGCAAAGCACTGAGCACCTGCCCATGAGCCAAAGACCAGTTCTTCATTGATGGCTTCTGAGCACAGCTGCCACAAGGCTGTGAATAGGAATTGTGCTCACTTCCCGCATCCACTGTGGAGCATAAATTTTCTTGCTTCTCCCTGTGCACTTAGCTAAGATAAAGAGGTACGGGTAACCTTTACAGGTTTTGGATACATGGGTTATGGCTTCTTGGGGACACTTCCTCTAGCA